ACATGTGGCAGGTCAGATTTCTAGACTCGCCACAAGAGTTTCTTTTAGTAGCTGCTCTGCTGAGGCAGCCTGTGTCCTCAAATCGACCTGGCTGCCCGCCTTCCTTTCCCTGAGCATCAGGAGTTGGAGCCTGCGAGCGCACGTGGAAAGCCCAACTGGAGGGCCTCAGCCATGGGGCGGAAGCTCAGCGTAGCCGTGTTGGATGCGGCTCAACTTACCTTCCTGCTTCTTCATCCCCTCCCTCTTCATTGGCCCATTCATGGGCAACCTTCTCACTGCAGCTCCCATCGCGTCTGTTCTCTAGCTCCATGAGAGGCAGGAGATTCTCTCTCAGATCACCTTGGGTTTAACCCCCTGGGCTGGGCTCTGGGGCCCATCCCTAGATCGATGACTATATTTCAAGTTGTATTCATTTCTCATCACTCCTCTATAAATCACCACAAACAGTGGTTTATAAGAATGCAAATGTAGTCCCTTATAATCTGGAGTTCAGAAGTCTAAAAAAGCATAGTGACAAGAGAGTGTTTCTTCTGTAGACTGTAGGAAAGGGTCTGTGTGTTACCCCTTTTCCAGCTTCTAGAGCCCATTGTGATGATCCTGGGGCCGCTGCATATTCCAGTGCTGCTATCCTACCTCGAGAACCCAGTCACAACTGTGAAGCCCCGTTTCCGTATTGTGACATTTTCATAGGTTCTAAGGAGGGACCATTATCCTGCCTGTCTCAGAGCTGATGTGATACTCTGATTGGCTCATCTAGAGTCAGAACCAGCCTATGGAGGACCAATCAGACCACATGGGAGTGGGGAGGGTGGCTCCCTAGGGGAAGATGTGAGCCCCTTACCAGGTCTGTAGGAGCAAGATATGGAGAGATAGTGAGGGAACAGGGACAGCCAGTGAGAGAACTTGGGAGCACTCCTGCACAGTTCTTGTTAACTGTGCTGTCAGGCTTCTTTGAGGGATCAGCCGATTACCTTTAGGTCTGAGCACATGTAGCTAGCAGATCTGAAGTAGAGAAGTCATTGTGAATTTATTTATTTCTCCAGGCAGTTTACTTATAACTTATATTGTCTTCAAAGCAAAGGAGCTTGGGAGCTCCCCCACAGGTGCCGGGGAATAAGCCATCTGATCACCAGGGGAAGCACAGCTAAGACATGGATCATCGGGACAGATGCGCTCTTAATCGTCTCAATGTTGAGCAAGTCCAGAGCTTCTGATGATCAGGGTGGATGGAAGACATTCTTGGAGAATGGAAAACTCCATAATGTATTATGTTACTGTCCCTTAAATCCCTTAAAGTTCAGGGAAAACAATCTTCAAAAGAGTTATAAAGTACATGAAGGAGCAACTTGAGGGGATGCTGAGCTGAGATAATTCTCAATGGCTGGGTTCTGAATCCAAATGCAAGCGAGAGGTATGGGCTCAGGGTAACGGTCGCACATCTGTCGCCTTGGAAGAAGTTAATGAAAAATAAACCCAAGGACCAAGCTTAGCCGAGGTTCAGAATTGCCCTGATCTATGACTTCTGGGCCATCATTGATGGCAGGGGGAGCAAGGGAAGGCCAAGGGATGCTGGCTGACTTTAGAGGGGCAGAAAGACCGCTTCTTGAGTGTCCTCTGCAGAAGAGTCACGGGGTCACCACCCCCTTGTGTGACCTTTCATCTGAGATTATGGGAATGAGGAAATCTGACAGGTGGAGATACAACACACATATGAAAACTGAAACAGGAATAAATGAAGGGTATGAGTTCAAGAGGCAGTATGGCCTAATGGTTATGAACCTTGTCCTTGGAATGAGATAGAATGGAGCTTAAATCTGGACTCCTTAATCATGGCACGGTGGCTGATAGATTGCTTTAAACTTTTTGAGCCACACAGTGATTTAAACTTTCAACCCCAGCTTGCCACTGGGTGGGTGAATGGTCACGTGTCCTTTGCACATGACTCAGCACAGAGCCCAGGAGCCTGCCAAGTATTCCAACCAGGACTTTTCAGGGTGAAATCACCAGAATCCCAAAGAATTTTGAACAAAAAGAAAATTCTGAGCTACTTGAAACCAACCATGGCTAGTGTGGATTCCAGGCCTAGCCAGACCTAGCTTAATGCTACATCTGGATTCCAATCCAGTTCTTCCATCTCCTGCTTTCTCCCTGTCAGGCCCATACTCAGGCAAGGTATGGTCTCACAGTGGCAAGATGGCTATCCGTAGTTGTAGGCAGGTTGTGTTTCTTTTGGACAATCTCATTGAACTAGAGAAGTCCCAAGGGTACCTCTGGTTTGTCTAACTTGGTCCCAGCCTGGCCTTGAACCCATCACTGTACCCAATTAGCCATCATGCCTTGACATTCCAGATTCATGGGGCATTCAGGCCCCACCTGAGCCACACAGAGAATGAGAGGGGTTCCTCAAAGAAGAAGCACAGGATGAAACCATAAGGCAGGCACGCTGACCACAGTGGCCTTCCAAGTGATGGCAAAAGATCAGTGTCAGGTGAAGGTGAATGACAGGACAGCCCCCAAGGTAGAGAAGGGAGTTGCCAGGCAGCCAACTCGTCTGTCAGTTCCCGCACAAGCCCCCCAGATCAAAGCACAAGAGAAGTGGGAAATCCTCTGACTTCTTAGGGCAGAGCCAGCGATGTAGAGAGCAATGTCCTCTTGCCCATGACTATGCTCAGAGTGCTGACTCGGGGCTAGTGACACCAGCTCTCCAACATCTACTGTATGTGTTTTGCGGATCCCTGCAGATTCGGAAGGTTATTTTCAAGAATAATGTGATCTCCCCTTCCTAATGCTCCTTATTGGGTAGTTCTCGCTGTTATCCAGCTTACGGACACGGATATCAAAGTGTCCCTTCCCCTGTCCCTTCCTCTTTCCCTTTCCTTCCTCTTCCTTGTCTGTTTTTATGCTCCCTGCCCTTCAAACCCCAGCTCTCCAGGATTGGGTCATGGGCCAACAAACTGTGATTTTTGCCAAGTGTTCAAACTGGCTTTACAATGGATTACTTCATATTTTAATTGTTTTTAGCTTAAGTAAATTAATTTAGAAAGGAATTTTTTTTATCTCTAACACATGAGGAAAACCAGTATTACTTGCCATAAATTAAAGATAAATATAAAACTAACTGTAGTGGTAGCAATGTTATAAAACCCTTCAGATGGAGTCCAGGCCTGCCTGGGGCTCAGCCCACGGTCAGCTCCCCTTGGTACAGGACGGGGGTGGTGCCCAACGCTCTCCTGGCATGGTTGGAAGGACCAAAGAAGAATAAAGAGGAGGAGACCTTTCTTCCCTGTGAGTCAGCAATGGATGCCACTGTAGGGTATTTCCTGTAACCACGGGGCCACCTCACTTTCAGGAATAGAGCATCCTCTGAAGCTCTTGCTTCTTTCCTGCTAACTTCCCCCTGTCTTAGCTTGAATGCAGACCAGAGGCAGCAGTGGCTCCAGCTGGCAGTCAGCCCCTCTTCCACAGGTGATGCTGGGTGTCTCCAGTGTCTCCGGACTCCGTGGCTGCAGAAACAAGCGGCAATCATCCATGTCTGGAACGAGCCTGGGACCTGTAGTCTGCCCTTTTCTTTTTCATCTCATTAGTGTATTTTCTCTTTCTCCAGCTATTTTTTCAACGAAAGATATATATTTTTAAGAAGAACATGTTAATTCGAGGAAAGAGGTGACTGTTGGAATCTGAGTGTTTGTTCCTTCCCTAGCATCAGCAGACATCCTGTTCCCTCAGAATCGCCATTGGCAATAGGAAAGTGAGTGTCCTTTCCCTCCATGCCAAACCCGCTGACACGGCTTCTCAACTTCTGGCATGTGTCAGCACCCAGTGTCACCCTGCTCTCACCTGTGGGCATTCTGGGAGGCTGGGAAAATGGATCATCTTCTCCTTCGCTCTGGTCTTGGTGCCTGAGGTGGCTGTTGGTTACTAGGCCCTCCACGTGGTCTCTCAGTTGGACTGTATTGAGCTTCCTTCTGTCATGGTGGCTGTGGGTGGGCAAACGTGCAGAGTGGAAGTTGTAGCACCTTTTATAACTCATCTAAGAAGAGGCTGTGAGTGGGGGTCATGGGAGTTATTGAACCCCAAGGTGTGTGAGAGGAGGGTCGGGGGCTTTACAGATGCTTTCCACCTCTTGTGGGGGCCCTGGGATGTCTGTGATCACACCAGGTCTCCCAGCTGTCTGGGAGGGGGTCCTGGGGGAGCTGGGAGGTTAGGAAGGAAGAGAGGGACTTCTTTGGGGTATTTCCCCCGACAATTCTTCACTGAAGCTCAGGCCGGCGCAGGGCTGTGAGGATACCCCAAGACCGCTAACTATTCCAGAATGCTTGTAACTTTGCTCCCCACCACTACCCCACCTAGCAGCCCGTCGGTGCCCGTGAGTCACGGGTGTAAAGTACACCGCGCCCTGGCACCGCAGCCCGGGCAGGGGAAGGTGTCATCAAGTGAGCCCCAGAGCGCCTTGTTTCCTTTCCAACTCAACACAAGTCCCTCTGGCTGCTCTGGGGAAGGGGCTGCCATTCGGGGACGCGGGTCCGGGACGGAACAGCCTGAGGAGCGGATCGCAGCCTGGTGCAGCTGTCCGTTCCCCCTTCCTCCCCCCACCAGGCCTCGCAGCCCCCGCCCCCGGCCGGCCCGGGGTGCGCCTCGCCCCGGGCTGCCGCTGCGCTCCCACCGGCTCCCCGCCCCCGCGCCTCCAAGGCGACCCCCGTGCGCCCCAGGTTCAAAGGCCCCGCGCAGCAGCTCCAGCCCCTCCGGGAGGCGGGGAGGCGAAGGGGGTGGTGCAGGAGCCAGAAAAGCCCCAGCCACGGCCGCCGGCCCTTGGCGGGGATGGGCAGAGAGCTCTAGAAGTTCGTGACCACCGCCACTAGCGCTTCTCGGCCGCCAGAACCCGGGACGCAGCAGCAGCCGGTGCGCGGTGGGACCTCCAAGCTGGGCCCAACCCCAGTGCCTTTTCGCAGCCCCGAACGGCCGACCTCCCGGCCCGGGCCTCCAACGCCCGATCGGGGTTCATGGAGCCGGGGCTGTGGCTCCTCCTCGGGCTCACCGTGACCTCCGCCGCAGGTAAGGGGCGGCGCGCCGCGCGTGGCGCCAGGCACACAAAAGGAGCGGGGCAAGGGGTCGGTGCTGCTGGGCGGGGGGCGGGGGCTGCGGGCCCAACGCACCGGGGGACTTGTTAGAACCTTTGCAAGCTCCTCGTTCGGAGACCGCAGGGAAGGCTTGCCCAGACGCCCCGAAAGTGCAGCGGGGGTGCAAGTTTCCTTCTATCCCGGGCAAAACGGTTTTCAGACTTTGCAGAGAGTGCACACAGCTCGCAAGCTTTGCACCAAGTCTGCACGTAACTTGCAGAAGTTCTAGGCTCCGGGCACAGGATAGCTTCGCAAACTTCGTGGGACCGAGTTGGCTGCTAGTGTGCAAAGTGCATGCAGCCCGTGGCTCCCGCGCAGGGCTCGAGGAGACGGGGGTGTTGGGGTCTCCCCTGCAGCTCGGAAGGGCCCCTCAGTGCGCCCCTCACTTGGCCTCCTGCAGGACTCGTGCCTTGCCCTCCGGCAAGGGGCTCTGGCAGGACCAGCGTGCCCTGGGCCCCTCTCGCAGCCGGATCCGAGTGGAACTGCGAAGAGACGGTGGCTGGTCCCCACAAGAAGACGGGGTCCCCCACCGCCATGCAGGACCCACGCGGCGGGCCGGAGCGGGCACCGGGTCAAGCTGGGGGGCAGGCAGCCAGGGGGGACCCCGCGCGCCCCCGCGCCCGGCGCTGCACGTGCTTCACTTACAAGGACAAGGAGTGCGTCTACTATTGCCACCTGGACATCATCTGGATCAACACTCCCGAGTGAGTTGCCTGCGGCGCGGGGGGAGGGGCTCGGCCCTGGCACAGCCTTTGGCTTCTTCAGGGCCTCCTTTCTGCCTTCACCCAGTCTGCGTGCCCCCTCCCCCCTGCACTCTCCGTCCCCCCCCTCCCAAGCCTGGCCCAGGAGAAACTCAATCTATAGCTAGGAATCCAGCAGGCAGGGGCTCTGTCAGAGGGGCAGTAATCCACCCAGGGTATTAGACACCTGAGAAGTCGCTCTGAGGCTCCTTTCCAAGCCAGCTCTCCTGCCCCGGGGGCTCAGCGGGTCCATCCAGCTCCTGACCCTTCCAGACAGGGGGAAGCGAACATTCCTTAAAAGCAGCCCACTTCCTGTGGAGAGGTGGGTGGGCTCAGAGACTCTGACAGCCCCTGCTGTCCAGGCTGATGGCCTGGGCTCCTGGTCCCCTGCCTTCCTGGGCGCTGAGGCAGGGTGAGGCACCCACCACTGCCCATCCCCAGGTGATTCATGCCCTGGTCCAGGCACGCCACAGAGGACCCCTCCTCTTAGTCCCTAAGAGCTCGTACCCAGGGCCTGGCAAGCTGATGGAGCCACGGGAGCGCTCTCCACTCAGCCTCAGGAGACCTTTCTGCTGAGACACATCTCACAAACATCTAGAGGACTTGACCTTGCTCTGGCCTCCACCTGGTTTGCTCTCTGAATCGGTAGAACCTGGCTTGAGCATGCCGCTGTTTGCGTCCATGCTGTGGTGGTGTTGGGATCTTGGGAGATGCTTTTGAAGCTTCTGACTAGAGATTCCTGGCTGGGAACGTGGCGATGGTTGTGAATGCAGATTGTTGGCCACCATGGAGGCATCTCCAGTCTTCCCTCGTGATGTCCTTTCTAGCCTCTGTGACCCTTTGGGGGTCAGCTTTGAGGTGTCATTCTTACCTGAACATCTCAAGAAAGAAGTGCAAGGGAGGGTGACCAGGGGACCAGGGCTCTACGCCCTCTTCAGCCTCAGCACAACGCCGGTGTGGGTGGCAGGGCCGGCATCCTGTGGCTACCTGGTCATTCAGCTAGATGTCTAGCACTGAGATAGACCCTGGTTAATGTGCCACCGTGACCACCAGGCAATTCTTCATCCCTTTGAACCAAGGGCTTTATCCTGAGCTGTCACAAAATTCTCTTGCTGATCCTGATGCCAGGATTTGTTTGTCTGGCTGCCTCTGATGGGCCTCTGTAGTCACGAATGCATGATACGAGCTAGGACTTCGGGGCTGTCATGGATCACTTTCTATTCTGGGACAAAGTCACGGTCATCTTTTCTTGTAGGCTCCATCCTCCTGTCACTTGTCTTCTGTGGTTCTGATCCTCTTGCCTGTGTGATCTTGCCAAATTAGCCCAACTGAGCAGAGATCACTGGGCAGCCAACAATGGGACAGAGCCCTGATCTTAGTGAGCAACCCATGCGATGACTCCAGAAGGAGAAAGAAGCAAGTCCACCCTGGGAGGGGGAGGGGACTCAAGGGGAAGGGGCCTATGGAGACCCCTCGGGTCCTCCAAGCCCCTGAGCACTAGCTGGGGAGGAAGTGGTTACTTGGGACACACTGAGGTGTTTGGAATCCTACCTCAGAATTTTGACTTGGCTCGTGTGGCCTAAAACAAATCTGGGATCTTTGACTTTTCCCAAGGTAGCTAACTTGATCACTTTCTCTCAAAGTTTACCTCTTCCCTTTGCTCTTACTCTGTTTTGCTCTAAACAGTGTGTGTGTGTGGGGGGGTGAATCCAGTGTGTGTATGCCCAGTGAGCTACTTGGACAACAAAAGTGGCAGCCACCAAAGCACTTTGAAACTAGACAAAGAAAATCAATATTATACGGAAGATTTTCCTATACAGCCTTTCTACCGTCCTGCAGCCCACCCTGATGCCTTCTTTCCCTTCCTCCCTTAGATGGGTCTACTTGCTGTCTTTAAAACATCTGGAATAAGATTATAATTTGAAAAAAAAGGGAAGAGGGGGAATGCAGTGACAGGGAGCATGGGAGGTGACAAAACAAAAGAACCTAAAGAAATACTGTGTGGAGTTAAAGGTCACTATGTATGTGTGATACTTCCAGAGGCCCGGGGCCTCTTCTGTCTCAGCTCTACTCACCCTATCCTCCAGACCTCCTGGTCTCACTGTGTGCCAGAATTTCTCCTCCAGGAGGTGGTCTGCTCCTGGTCCCTTCTGCTTTGGAGCCTGGAGGGATCTCGATGCTCCAGGATGAACTTTGAGCGTGTCAGCCTATCTTCCTTGAGTCCATGTGGTTGAATGGAGATCAGCCCACCTACAATCCAACTTGGTCTTTGGAGCACATTTGTGGGCATCTTCAGAGGGCCAGGCTGAGACTAGGGTGGCTTAGGCTGTGTCTCAGGCAGCATCTCCGCAGCTCAGGAATAATGTAGGAGACCCTGCCTGCATCCTTGTGGGAGGGTGACTGTCTAGGCTAGTCTGGAGGCAGAAGATCTGAGCTTCCCTGTCTCTCTCATTTTTATTCCTCAATCTGAGTTTGGTTTCTTGGTAAGTTCTGCCTGACTTTTGGTTAAATCCTATACCTGATTCCACCCTGCCCCCCCCCTGCCCCTGCACCTTCGTGGCTTCAGCAGCTCTGGTCCATAGGCGCCCTGCCTCCCCTGAGGTCTCTTCATGCAGGGTGTGGCAGAGCCCTCTTTGGAGAGCCTGTGTCTCCCTGCAGACATTGGCGGGACATCAGTTCTAGCTGTGTCCCACCATGGCCTGGTTACAGAGGAATGTCAGTCTGTCTAACAGTGACTGAGCTTCAGCGCACCCCACAAAGCCGGCCACGCCCCTCCCCAGCCTGTGGTTGAGGGAACCTGCCATCTGTTCATTCCAACACGGACATATGAGCAAGGCACTGTGATACTGCGATGGTGACCATGTTTTCCAAACAAAAATCCGAGCCACATGGCTGACAAGTAGGAATGTATTTGTGGAAAGAGCAGGGCAGGATTTTGGAAAGATGAGTGTGGTGGAAAGTCTGGTATCGGCAGTCTCCATGCGCTGGAGCTTCGCTGCGCCCTGGAGTCCTGGCTGTGATGGCGGGGTGGGAGGGGCCCTCAGCTCCCCGCCTCCCCTCTATAGGGTGTGGGCTGCAGTGAACCTGTAGTTCGCAGGGACCCCAAGGACCGACTTTCTCCTGTGGGATGCCCAGCCTGCTGCCCAGGCTGTGCCTGGCATGCCCCGCTTACTTCACCCCACAAGAATGACATTTGTTTTATGTTCTTTTCCTTCCCAAAGAGTAAAATCATCATCATCATCATATTTAACAAAACATTGGAACTGGCATTCTAATGGATTCTACCACAAAAAGGCAGCATCACTACAAATTCTGACCTTGCCTCTTGTGTTCTTCAAGAAAGCCTTTGACCACATTTCCAAGTCCCAGAATATCCTGGGGATGGCTCTGGAAGCCCAGCTTTCTGTAGACTGGAAACAGCTGGGTCCCTCGCCCAGAGGATCAGAGAAGGAGCCCTTTAAGTCACCTTTAAGTCTGTGGCCTGGCCCTGAGCAGGAGCACTGGTGGAGACTTGGCTCTTTGAAGCAGAAACATGATGGTTTTGTGGTGTTATGGTTCAAGAATGGTGTCAGGAGTGATTGATCTCAATATCAGTGGTGATGTAGGACTTGGCCACACATCAGTCATTGCATGCCAGTCAGCCAATGGGATTCGATGGGGTGCCGTGTCTGCATGGCATTGGGCTGGGCTCGGGCCTATAACCAAGGAAAGACCTGCTCCCCCATCCCGACTCCTGAAAGGTGGTTCTGTTTTTTGGGGTGCTGATGCATTGTGTAGTTCTATGACCTAACACAGTTGACCTTTGCACGGTGACTTGATAGACATAAATGGGCACAGGAGCAAAAGCTCACATCCCTGGTCTACCTCGGTGTCCTAGGTTTTGTTCTGGAGAGATATTATGGGCTTATGGAGAAGTGCAAGGCTCCTGTTAGCCTTTGAGAGCCACAAGAACCTGTAGGCCCCCGCACACCGGCGGTTGAGAACTAAGATCCCCAGCTGAGAGAGACTCAAAGACCCCTGCTCCATCCCCAGCAGGACTTTGCTTAATGTGACTATTGCTCTGTACACAATCTTCTTCTGGCTGATGCCTCACTTTGCCTTCTCGCTATCTGGTACAGTCTTAGTGACTGTTTTGCTTAGTGACTGTCCTGCTTTGCACAAATGTTCACTTTTGGGGTTGAGAAAGGGCATCCAGGCTCCCTTCACTGACTGACTTCTCTTAGAGGGGAGCGGATCCCCCTGTCATGGTTAGGAGCTCAAGCCAGGGCTCACATCATTTTTGCTGTAATTCTGAATCTCCTACCGTGGGCGCATGCCCTCTGTGAGAGCAGGTCTCTATCTGCACAGGGAGAGTGCATGGGCAATGGTCACTTTGCATCTGGTCAGCACTCAAGGTCATGTGGCCATCATGGGGCCAATACAACCTTGCAGAAACCTTTCCCAGCCAGAGACGTCTTCCTGCCCATTTGGTGTAGTAAGGGGCACTAATGACTGGAACTTTCTTCCTCTAGGGCTGCAGAAGTTGGCCTTTTAGGGACTTTCAACTCTAGTTTTCTCTCATCCTTCCGCAGTAACCCAGCACGAGCCCACACCCTCTGTCCTAGAGGCCTCTGGCATTTCCAGAGGTGAGGTGCAGGTGCACAGCCATTAAAATTCAATTAGCATAAAGTTCCCAGACTCTGGGAAAGGCCACCTGGCCGCTTCTGCTGCTGATAAGCAGCTCCATAAAGACGGGGGGGAGGCCAAAGGTTGCAGCAGGTGGGTTGAGATCCGTGTCCTTCCTCTGACATTTCCTGGTGCTCCCTTTGGGCTTGGTAAACAATAGGAAGGTCTGGGGACTGGGCAAGGCGCTCCCTCCACAAAGTGGGAAGATGTCAGTGGAGGATGGGTTGAAGGACCCGTTAAACTGTCCAGGGAGATTTTTGGAAGGAAGAGGAGTCTTGTACCTTCTTCACAGGGGAATT